CAATTAAGAAAATTAGCTTTGGTTAACTGCCATTTATCTTTTATTTTACAATCCCACATCGAAAAAAAAAAAGAAAAAAAGAAAAAAAAAAGAGTGAATTGTTTCATTTATAGAAAATGAATCTTAAGAAAATCCCCATTGGCTAGCTTCTATTTAATTTTTATTTTATAATCCCATATCGAGAAAAGAATGAAAAAGTGAATTGTTTCACTTATATAAAATGAATCTTAAACTTCCATTTATATAAGTAAAAGGAAATTTTAGTGAGAAATCTATGATCAATATATCATACTCATTTTTTTGATTTTCTTAATTTTAAACAATTAAGAAAATCTCGATTGGTTAACTTTCATTTAACTTTTATTTTACAATCCTATATAAATGTTTTGATTTTAAAAACAATTTCATGCGGGATTTTGAAACTCTTATAATATCTCTCCTTAAAAATATTCTTTTTATAAAATATACAGATATGTCAATAATCTCAATGTCACTCTTACTGCTCATTAATACAAAAATTATGAAATAATTATGATAATTTTAAATTTGTATTTAAAACTTATAAATTATGAGATAGATTATTATAATTTTAAATTTATATTGTGTTGATTTTAAATTTGAATTAATAGATTGTTTTCCATATTTAGTGATAGTTTAAATTTTAATAAAATAAAATTTAAAAATTTTAATTAATTAATTTTTGTGTAAGTTAGTTGTTCTTTTGACTTAACTAATTAAGTTAAACCATTTCTAGTTTGAATGATTTGTTAGTTTAATCGTGATTTTAGCAGTTTTACATGTTATGACAATTTTTTTTTTACTTATTAAGTTTTTAAAATTTCTTTAATTATTTTTCCTTTCAAAAACCAATTCGATAATTTTTTAAAATTCATTTATTTTTATTCTAAAATGGTGAAATATTATATGTCGTTTTTTTTATAACAAAGTATAATTTTAATTATTAATTGTCAATATAACAATTTTAATCTATCTATATTATATATTATAGTAAACGAACATTTGAAACAAAATTCTTAAATTTATATATAAAATTTTATTTAAGAGAGATAAAATATAAAAAATTAAATATAATTATTAAATTTTTACTAAATAATATATTATTTTATCTCGTATATAACACGGGGATAGTGTTTTATTTTATAGTGAATTCTCATTGGATTAATGCTTAATTGCGGAGCCAATCATATAGAACGTTTCCGTGAATAGGGGCCTCCTTTTGGTCACGTTGCCATGCACTTATGGTTGGTTGCGCCATCCTATCCTATCTGTGTTTATTTACTTATTTATTTTTGTTAATGTAAATTGTAAATAGTAAATCACCACTATCACCAACTCCACCTACCATCTCCACTACCACCCACCACCTCCACTACCATCCACTACCACCACTCACTTACCTCACCTACTCCCAAATCCTCTCCTATATAATAGCTTGTAATATACAAAACACATAACAATCTTGTAATACATATCAATCAATACACAATTTATTCTCTCTCTTTTTCTCTATCAATTTATCTTACAATTTTTCAAAACAAAAATAATAATAATTTTTTAAGAATAAATTACATAGACAACCCTTCAAAGTTATAATAATTACACTTGATTCCAAATCTCACCCCCAAATCATTGTCGAAATCCTACTTATCAAATCGCCCCTAAATCTATAAGTTCCTGGCCATCACTAAGGAAGATTGATGGAGTGAAGGTTGCACACCATCAAAATTACCGATGTCGCCTTTTCCAACATCGTGACCGACTTCATTCTCCTCCTAATTTTTCTTTGATTTTTGAATTGGTAGGGTTTATAATTGTAGTGGTGGCGGTGGTGAATTTGTTAAGGTTTTCAATTTATTGGTAGAGTTCGAATTTATTTTTGTTGATTGAATTTGTTGTTTTGGTGGTTGTGGTTGCGATAGTGTTGTTGATAAATTAATGGGCAAATTACACTAATAGTCTTTATAGTTTGGGACTTATGTCACTTTAGTCCATGACTTTTTAATTGTGACACATTTGACCCTAAATTTTGAATATTGTTCCAAATAAGGACAATTGAACATACCATTGCTTAATTTCAAGGGCGAAATCATTAATTTGATAAAATATAAATTAATTTGACAAAAATAAATGTCAAAAAAATATTTTAAATTTTTTTAAAAATTATTTCTACGCACCAAAAATAAAATTATATAAAATTAATAAAAATTACATGATTAATTTTTTAAAATTAATTTTACATGATCATCTTCCAAATACATAATAAAAATTAATTTGGTAAAAAATAAATAAATGTTTAAAAGATTTATCAGTTTTATATAATTTTATCTTTAGTAGATAGAAATAATTTTTAAAAATTCAAAAAATAATTTTTTGACATTTATTTTTGTCAAATTAATTTATATTTTATCAAATTGACAATTTTGCCCTTGAAAAATTCAATAGTATTTACAATTGTCCCTATTTGGAACAAGATTCAAAATTCAGGGTTAAATGTGTCATAATTGAAAAGTCAGGGACCAAAATGATACAAGTACCAAACGATAGAGACCATTAGTGTAGTTCACCCTAAATTAATTTGTGGCAGTGGTGGGAGAGGGAGGGTAGAGTACCAATGGTGGGGATGAGTAGGAGTAGTGGTGGAGGAGGGGTGTTGGGTTGGACCAACCCCACTTTAAAAATGTTAAAAGAATATCTAGAACATATTATTTTTCATATTTGTTAGGTTTTCTTATTTTCATAGGTTTCTTATTATCCGTTCTTACTTTGCCTATATACAAGTCACCTCTTGTAATAATTCAGTACACAACGATATTTTTTAATATTATTCAATATACAAATATTCTCTCTTTTTAAATATGGTTAGGTTTAATATTTCTATAAGTTTTCTTATTCTCATAGGTTTCTTATTACCCACTCTTACTTTGCCTATATATAGGTCACCTCTTGTAATAGTTAAATACACAACAATATTATTCAATATACAAAGATTCTCTCTATTCTCTCTCTCTTTAAACAATTATCTTAACATGATAACAGAGTTATAAGATCCTCTAGTCTATCTTTCTTTCTAGTTCATCGGCAGGTAGTCGATCGGCAACCTTGCCTTTGCTACCTGCTGGAGTTTTAACATATACTCACCACCTCCGCCAAGATGCAAATCTCAGTCTTCCACTACTTCAATCTATATCTGAATCTATCATATTTTTTTATATACTCAAAATCTATTATTTTGTGCTTTTGCACTCTCTGTTTCAACCTCAAATAGATTATTATCTTCTAACTTATGTGAGTTTAAGGGGGGAAATACCCATATCATGGTAAGCAATGTGATACATCATGCAAACCACCCCAGTCGTCCCCTGGTGCACCACTTAAACCGTCTCCTAGCACACTATCCAAGCATCTAAGCCTCTTCTCATGGTGAGCACGCCGTTCAAAATCACCCATAAAAGGCCCTTATTGTTTTTCCTAATTGTCCCTAGCAAGCCTTTACCGTTTTCCCTCGCAACATACTCTTCTTAATTGCCTGTAACAAGCTCTTATTGTTTGCCTTAATAATAGACTCTTCTTAATCGCCCCTAGCAAACCATTTATCGTTTGCCTTGGCATCAAACTCTTCTCTTTCGCCCCTAGCAGGCTCTTTCATTTGCCTTAGCAACATACTTTCATTTATTTTTGTTCTTCCAATCTCAAGTTAGTTTATCTACTTGAGTTTCAGGAGGGTTATTAAGAAATATGTAGAATATACTATTTTCCATATTTGTTAAGTTTTCATGTTTCTATAAGTTTCTTTATTCTCATAGGTTTTTGTTACCTACTCTTACTTTGCCTATATATAGGCTACCTCTTGTAATACTTCAATACGCAATAATATTATTCAACATTATTTAATATACATACATTCTCTCTTCTTTCTCTTTATACAATTATCTTAACAAAAAAAGAGTTAAAAAAAAAATAAAAAAATGGCATACCCTATGCTTGTAGGATTCCAAAAGGGAGATTTTTTTTTTAAGGTTCTTGATACTAAGATTTTATAAGATAAAAGATATACAATATTTTTATAGTAGTTGGGGTCCCTCAACACTTTACAGAGAAAATTCGACATAAAAAAATTTCATCCCGACACAGAGAAATTTCATTTTTTACAGAAAAATTTCATTGAGGGATCTTAGCTAATAAAATATATTGAACCTCTCCTTCTACCTAAAATTAGAGAAAGATGTTTCACTAATTTTTTCTTTGTAAAACTGGGGCAGGGGATAATAATTTGATACATATGTGATCATTTAAAACATCTAAGTCCAGTATTGTCACTTTTAAATGAAATTCGAAAGCAACAAATGAATAATAATGCACGCAATAATATGATCAAAACTACACAAATTCATAAACTTTTATTTACTAATTGATTTTTCATGTAAGAAAAAAATTTAAATTTTGAAACATGACTCACTTTGATAATGTATTAAATGTCACATTAATAAATAAATAAATAAAAGTTATTATAAGATTTATTAATTTATGTAACATTACTCTTAATAGAATTTGGCCGAATGAAACACATGGAAACTGAACAATACTTTGTTGAGTTTTCAGAATTTGTTTATGAAAATCTTTCAAAATTGGTTTAGTCAAGAAAAATAAAAAACTAAAAATTCATTACTTACATATGGTTTTTTCTTTTTTTAAAACAAATAATTTTAAAAAATTAAAAATATATATTTTTATATTTATTTCTATCAAATTAGTTTATAATTTTTTTAAAAAAATTAAAAAATACAACCAAACATAGCTGTCTTTATATGAACAACGTAATTTATGGTCTGACTATTTCAAAACTCTGAAGATCTAAAGCAATTCAATGGTTTTAAACAAATGACAGCAAGAATATATGTTCGGACATCCACTTTGTTCGGAAACAAGTGGTTTAGATACATTGCACTACCAATATATATTTTGGGAGAACCCCAATATACATTTTGAGAATTCCAAGGGTTTGGAGAATAAGTTCTAAAGTTTCAAGTTCCAGTTTACCAAGGGGCCATTGGAGGATAATCCTGCTGTTACCTTCATTGCCTTTGGGGACTAGTTCTAGGCTCGAAATATAAGGTCACTCGAGTCCAATTGAACTAAGGTGGGTGAGAGATACCTCGAATTATAAAAAAAAAAAATTACATTCGGAGATTCAATTAATTCCATAATCCAGGTATGATGACAAACTTCTTAACCTGTTTCTTTCACAAAAACAAAGTCTTGGTTCAATGATTTTCCAATAAATTTTTAATGTGATTTTCATTTAAAAAAAAAAAAAAAAAACATATCCCCATACGGTGGCCAATACAACTGAATTTGTCCTCAACTACGAAAATCGTAAAGGAGTCCCCCCAGCTTAAGATATATACATATCTTGTGATAGATGCTAATATCTAATGAAGAAATAGGTGAAAAGGTGCTAAAAGTAACAGCATTTTTTGTTTATTTATTTTGTAGATGTTGGAGCTAATTGGAATCTTAGTACCATTGGTACTTTTCAATGTTGATGTTGGAGCAGTGGATGTTACCAGTTTGCCACCATGTAATTTTCCAGCAATTTACAACTTTGGTGACTCGAACTCAGCTGCATTACATAAAAATCCTGCAGCCGGACGTCTTCTCATAGAATACATGGGTATATAAATACAACCTTTTTCTTTCTATAATTCAAGCACATGCATGGATATTTATCAGAATTAGACATTGCTTAAAATAGTAATGGATATCTTAGTATTGTTATTTTGTGTCAATTATAAACAGCGGATTATTTGAAACTGCCATATGTGAGTGCATACCAAAATTCAACTGAAACAAAATTTCAGTATGGCGCCAACTTTGCAAGTTCTGGTGCATCCATTAGGCCCCAACATGGTCGTCCTGGTGGTAATTTCGTCCATCTTAAAATTCAAGTCCAACAATTTGGTGAGCTCAAAGCACGAAGCTCAAGCAATCAAGGTGATTATAGTGGCCATATTTGTAAATAAAATACTGTTCGGCAAATTACAATGGTAGTTTCTATAATTTGATCCTTATGTTATTTTAATCTCTCTAATTTCAATTGACTCGATTTTGATTCTGAATTTATGATTTTATCTTTATTTGGTCCAATTGATTATAACTCTTAGCATCTTTTTATAAAAAAAAATACGCACATAAGTGTCATGTGTTATATTTTTAATAGAAAATCTATAAAGCCAGTGAGTTAATTTCAACCAATTCAATAATAATTTTTCGTAAAAAACACTAACGATAGTATAAATTGGACCAAATTGACACAAAATTTAAAATTATAAATCAAAATTGAGCCAATTAAAAGTGTAGGAATCAAAATAATATAAGGAATAAAATATAAAGATCATAAGTGTAATTTGCCAAATAATGTTACGCTGATCAAATTTCTGTACCAAATGTTGTACACCAAACAGCAGGTATGTTTCACAAGTATTTATTATAAGATAGTTTCAGTTATGATCGTTTTTCATCAAATATAGGCACAAATGGACTCTTCAAACCTGTGGATTTCTCCAAGGCTCTTTACACTCTTGATATCGGTCAAAATGATCTTGCCATGTCTTTTCAAGATAAACTTGATGTTCGAGCTCAAATTCCAGATGTAATTAACCAATTTACTACAGCAGTCAAAGTAAGTTGCACTCCCTTTAAATCAAAACTGGAATTGAAAAAAAAATGTATTTGATTTGAGTTTTCTAAATTAAGTTTTTGAAAATTAAATTTTTTGATTTTCGTGTTTTTTTATTTTTAGTGAATATTTTTAAAATTTTAAATATTTTTGTTTACTTTTTTAGATACACCTTACTTAGATGTATCTAAAAAGTAAAGAATTTATGAAAACATATTTTTAAAAAATTAATAAATACATAAAAACACAAAAAATGTACTGAATTTT